TTTTTTTCCGAAGTAACATCCGGTGAAGTTCTATGGCTAGGTCTTCCTTTCTTTATCTTTCCTTTTCTTATTTTGTGTTAATTGAGACGGGACCTTAAGGTCTCGTTCCCATCCCATTCCGTTCTGTTCTATTCTGCGGATCATCAGTCCGGTACCTCCAGATGCTTTCACACCGGTAAAGTCCGCTGGCTAAAATGTGCAGAGCATGATACTCTGAATGTGAACAGTTTTTCTTCGCTCTGTGCATCTATCTGTCTGCTGTGTTTTCATACTCTGCCGTGTTTTCATCTCTGTCTGCAGTTGTGGTATTTTCACCTGTGGCAAACTGGCAGTGGAGTGAAGGTTTTTGCATCTGGTTGTCTGTGGCAGATGCATCTGATTTCCATTCGAGTGCGAGAATGGGCCCGTTTTGTTTTTTGGGACATGTCTACATGTTCCTTTAAAGCATGGGAACCCATGGGCACCTGGGCTGCGGGCCTGACGCCTCAAATTCTGGAGGCGCGAAACGAAAACGCGACCGCCGATCGAAATTTATCGACGGCGGGCCCAGCGTTTGTTGACGTTTCGGCCTCATCGTTTTCTTGTGGCAACAAGTTTCGGACTGCAAGGCTGGGCCCGTGTACTTGTGTGTGGTTGAAACCACCACCATCTTCACCTTTAGGTGCCGGTGTCTCGTTGGGAAAACGACCTCCTCCTAAAAAAATTTGGAGGCCGGGCCCAAGGCGCAGCCGCCGCCGATTAATAATTTGATCGGCGCCCGTCTTCACGTTCCCGGCCTCCAGAAATCGTGGGGCCTCGCCCGTGGCCGACGTATGTGAAAGGTTGCGGTGGTATTAAGGAAACGGGACGTTCATAATCAACATACATAAGATTTTCTAAACCCAGGTCATCGGAGCTCAGCGGTTTTTTTATACACCCCCCCCCCTCTCCCCCCCCCCCCCCTGCCCCCCGGTTATTAGTAAATTACTATCATAAAATTAGTAATATCGCAGTCTAACTGACTCATCTCAAGACTCAGATAGGCTTCGTCTGCATCGCCGAATGTTTGTAGACGGACATCTTTTTCCGCTCCTCGTCAATTATCTTTGCAAATTTCCATCCTCTTTTGTCTCACCCTCGTCCAAAATGGGAAATGGGACACTTGGAGACTGGACCAGGTCCCAAGCCGTGGTGGTATCAACACTTAAGCAAGCCAGGAGATGACTGGAACCAAA